GGAAGACTATGTGTCTCGGAGCCAGAGGGCTGGGTCCAAGCCCTGGCAGGCAAGCTGCAGGACCACCAGGAGCCCCTATTGCTCATTGACAAAGTGGGGGTGACTGTGATAATCCTCATCCTCTTCTTTATAGCCTGCTGCAGTGTTTTATGAGCTTGTGAGAGAAAGAGGAAGACACTGTGCACATCACTATGTTACTGCCATAACTGGCAGTCATGTTCACTGACTATTATTTTTTCGATGGCACTGGGGTTTGAACTCAGGGCCTCATGTTTGCTAGGCACTTGAGCCACTCCACCAGCCCAGCTGTGTATTTTTCTGATGTATCCAAGTTGTCACATATTTAGGTGCAAGGAGAGGGGAGAATAAAGAAGAGCTGGTTCCTCCCCACACCCTGGGGTTAGCATCTCAGTGTGCCTTCCTGGAAACATCTCTGGCCAGTAAGTGATGCTGGAGTCCCACCTTAATTTGGGGAAATTGTTGAGTTTTCTTTCGAAAAAGCAAACAACGAACTATATGTCACAAATCAGCTGGGAGAAGTGTGCTATTCAGGAGCTGCTGTGGTCATAAGCATGGCCCCCTCTAGTCTGTGTCCCCCACCCCGCCCGGTTCCAGGACCTGGGCTTGGCTCCCCACCCCCACTCTATCTTTCCCGCTCACTGCCTCTTCTCTCCAGTAAACCCCTTGGCTCTTTAATAAATCATCAACATGCTTTCTCATCCATCTGGCGGCGCCAGACCTCAGCACTGGCCGCCTTCTCCATTCCCCTGGCGCCCCTGAGGGATCTCACTGGTTGATTAATCTTTCAGGTCCCTCCCACAGAAAGCCCACTGTCTGGGCTGATGCTCAGTGTGGCATCCAGCTGTAAGAACTCTTCTTGGCTTCAAGACTTTCTTGCCAATCCCCAGTGCTCATCCCTGAGTGGGCTGCAGGCCAGGCCTTGCACAGTAGGTGACTCGCGTGCAGGGTTCAGTGGCCGGTGGACCATGCCAGCATCAGTGCATTGGTCTCCTTACCTTGGACCAGGGGAGCTCAGAGGGGGACATTAGGGGCTAGCACCCACTTAGAAGTCACAGGATATGAGTTCCCCTCACCTCACTCATGCACCAGGTATGTGATCTTAAGAAGTTTTGAGCAAGTTTGCTTCATCTGCAGAGGAGTGGTTCTTATAGGCTGCTGTGGGGGTCAAACGAGGCAAGGGCTGAGTTCAGGCTCCCTCCATGTGCTGCAGCAGAACAATCCCATGAAGCCTGAGTATGAGACACTGCCCTGCTACCTACCTTCCCTGGACCTGTGGATGGCAGGGGAGCTTAGGGACTTTCTGGCCCACATCCTTGTCCTTCCTCTGTAAGCACAGAAGGCTGGAGGGCTCCAATGCCCAGGAACAAATTGCCTTAGCTCAAACCAAAGCCTGCTGCTTCGCCAGTTCTGCCTCTTACCTCCAAGGTACTTTCTTTTCTGCTCTGTGAACTTGTGATTCTGGTCAGTACACCTCATGCATGGCATGAAAGTGGTTCAGCCACTCTCTGGTTTGATAAAAATTCTGGCTCCTGTTTACTCAGCACCTATGGAATACCAGGTGCTTTGCAGTCTTCACAAAAAGCCTGGGAGGGAGGGATTTGTCCACATTTTATAGGCCACAACACTGGGGCTCAGAAAAGGTAAATGATACACCCAAGGGCACGCGGCCAGTTCTTGGCAGATCCCAGTTCAAATTCAGCATTCGATCCACGTTCATTTAACTTGCATTGATGCTGCATTCTTTGAGGTTTCCCCATTCTTTTCCCTCTTATTGCCTGTTACCTACTTTTGGGACCAGGTAAAACCATTCACCATAGATGACTTTCCAGCCCATGCAAGACCCAGCTCTGCCCAATAGGAGGGGGTGTCTGCAGATTTGAACTGATGTTAGAAATAAAAATAGTTCCTATTTTCAAGCCTCTGTTACTACCTATTACCCCTGCCTAGCCATGTGCACATGCTCCTGGTTCATAGTTCTGCTACAACTGCCTCCCACACTGGCACCTCCAAAGCAGGAGAAAGGGCTTCTATCCCCAAAAGCTCTCTAAGCAGATTACAACTCCTAGAACCCTCATCCCTCCCCAACTTTCCTCTGAATAACTTATATCATGAAAGCTGGGGCTTGACGTCCCACTGCCTCATAAGAGGAAGGGGAAGCCAGCTCCAAGGCAATACCCAGGGTCTGACCCCACCAGGGGTTTCCAGAGCATCTTTCTCCATGGCAGGGGCCACAGGAATTGTTAGGCTGGGCCACTGGCTGTGACTCAGAAGCAGCCTTCTGAATCTCTGTGCTCAGGGTCTCTTTTCTCTTCCCATGTCTTGGGCAGACCAGAAGGCTCCGCTGAGCTCCCTGAGTTATTACCTTCCTTTTCCAAGACCAGTGTTTACCTGACCCTCTCCCCAACATCCATCTCATGCCTCCTTGTGCTGAGGATGCTCACTGCTGTTTCCCCTGCCTAGAGTCTCTCCAAGCCCCTCCATGTCTTCCTGGACCCTGCAATCTACCAACGAACTAACAACCCCAATCCCACTGCTCTCCTCCCTCTCCACTGCTCCTGAGACAGGACTATATCCAAGATTGGCAAGTCCAAGGCCTCTTCTCTCTGGGACTATTTCAAGGAATTTCGACTCCCTGTTACAATTGTTTGTAATGCACAACAAATCAGCCCTGATTAAACAGAGTGGCTTAAAACAACAAAAGCCATGGATCATCTTCGCCATGTCTGGCTGGCACGTACTGACTTGGCACCCCTCATCAAGCTTCAGTCATAAGTCGGTGGTTGCTGCTGTCATTTGAAGATGTGGCTGCAGCTAGCCATCCCATTTCCAAGCTGGTGCCCATGTGGACAGGTGGCCTCAGCTTTTTGCCATGGGGATGACTTTGCAGGGCTGCCTGAGTGTCCTCACAGCATGGCAGGTGGCAATCCCTCCCTGTGGCCAAGGCAGAGGCTGCAGAGCTTTTATGATTTAGTTTTAGAAGTCATAACCTGTCACCTCCACCGTGTCCTACTGGTTACATGAACTTCTCTGATTCATGGAGGGAGAGGACTCTATGAGGACACGAAGACCAATAGGTGTGGAAGTCACCAGAAGCCATCTGAGAGCCTGGCTGCCAAACCTTTTAAAACCCAAAGGGCTCAGACTTCTGCTGACTTGAGAACACATTTCCTGACTTTCATCTACCTTTGGGCATCTCTAAATGGGCCTGTGAGATGCTAAATCCTGTTCTAGGGATATTGAGATGGATGAAGCATGAGCCTTTTCTTGGAGGAACTCATTCAAGATGAGGTCCCATCATGAGAAGTGCTAGAAAAGAGATATGGAAAGGATTATAGGAGCACAAAGGACAGGTCATTTCTTGTAGGGGAATATGGAAAGCTTTCACAGCAGAGGGGATATTTGAAGGACTTAGGAGCTCCGCAGGTGTGGAAAAATGGAAGACATTGTTCTGTGTAGAGAACTATGGCAGCATATGAGTCTTCAGTTGTGAAAGATCCTGAAGGCCAGGACACAAGCTAGACTTTATTCATCAAGGGTCAATGGAGGGCTGCAAGCCAGAGGAAGGCCTGACAGAGCCATGTGGTGGATGGGACAGAACTGGCAGGAAGCCTGGAAAGAAGGCTACTGCAGTGGTCCCAATAGGAGGAAAGACTGCCTGAGCTGGACACTGGGGATGGAAGGATGGGGGAGCCTCAGGAGGTGAGGCTAACAGGATGTGGAGAAGGTGTCTCTTTAGGAAGGGACAAGGAGGGCCTCTCTCTCTTCCTGTGGAGCTTCCTTTCCTAACTCTTGTCTCCTTGTGGATGAATCACACCCAGCCCTTGCTCCAGGCCTGAGCACAGAAACTGGGCTTTCTCTGAATAGGTTCTCTGCACTAACACTAGAAGCCTGTAGTTGTTGTTCCCCTAGAACAAACTGTGCAGAACCAACTGGCAGCCAAAAGGGATGCAGTCCTGTTGGCCTCGGACTGGGGATTTTGAGTTTCAGCCCACAGAAAACTGTGAACCATCTTCCCAGAAAAAAATGAAAATGCACAATTGTACAAGTAGTTTGCAAACAATTCCAGAAGGCTCAGTCTCCTTGCAGCTCATTCCTGGGTCTCTGAACCCCAAATTAAAACCCCAGGAAGAAGGGGGAATGAGAGAAAATGTCTGACTTTCCAAACATCTGTTATTTACTGTCCCCCACTCCCATCCATAATTGGGCCACCACTGAAATATCGAGAAACAAGAGGCAGTGTTTACCAGCTGATAGCCCCTGGTGGCACCAACCTCACTTGGCAGGTTTATTTCCACTGTTATAGTAATTTTCAGGCTTCAGGCTTCAATTTTCACTTGAAGCAAGATATTAAATTGAAATTACCCCAGATGTAATTGTCATAGAAAATAATCCTGGACACTTGGAAGTGAATGCTTTTACAAGATGGGGCTCTATTGCTTACCCTGGGGTTTTAAGGCTTTGTCTCCTTAAACATGCCAGATTTTGGGGTGTGTGGTAGAGGGCCAGGGGTCAGGTTGTGTGGTCAGTAAAATTACTGGCCTAGTATGCAATATCATGAGGCTTCTTCTGGCTGGGACTCCCCTTTGGCCGCCGCACAGACAGGAGGGATAGAAGGGCACAGACCTGGGGGCACAGCTAACACTTAGAGTTGGGTTTCTGCAATTACTAGAAACCACTGTGGCCTAACTCAGGCATGTGTAAAATACCACATTTGTTTTCTGCATGTGAACTTAAGTTTATCTCCAAACCTAAGTTCCCTGCAGTTGGTAGAAATTCAGCTTTAGTTATTCTCAGAGTTTTCTAGTCTCTTATGACCAGGTAAGGCCCTGGGGCCTTACCCAGTGCTAAGCAGCTAAGAAGGCCCCTGAAGACACCAAGCATCTGTCCATACTGGTGGCCACCCTGATGCCCAGGGTCCTAGACCCTTAGATCTGTTTTGCTCCCAAAGATCCTACTTGTCTTCTACCTTTCCTTCCCAGATGCACACTGCTGACGTACCCTTCAGACCTCCCGCCCACCAGCATCATCATCACCTTCCACAATGAGGCCCGCTCCACCCTGCTCAGAACCATCCGGAGGTAAGGCAGCTTTCTTTGTCTGTGAGCCAGTGCCAGCCTGACACTTGGTGAGGGTGTCTGCTCACTGGGTGCCAGGCCCACTTTTCAGCTGTGGAAGCTGAAACCTGGAGACTCTAAGTTAGATCTAAGTTATGTAGCTAAGATGCAGGCTTTCAGCCTTTGTACCAACTGGCGGTACCTCTTCTCCACAGCCTGTGCCAGGACTAGCGGTGATGGTCAGCATCACTGGGAGGTGTTGGGGCTGGGAATGCAGGGAACCACATCCTCCAGCCGAGCCAAAGCCAGGCTCTGCAGTAAATGTCCATGGAAGCTCCATGTCTCTGAGACACACAGCCTATTAGAGCTACTCCTACCTGCTAAGCAGCTTATGGGATGGTCACTTGGGCCACAGAGAAGAAATGAGGTTAAATGTGTGCCAGAGAGCACACCATGCATAGCAAACCTCTTATCATCCCCATCAAATAAGTCACACTGGCCCTCTCTCTCCATGCCTAGCATGCTACGGCACTGGGAAGTTCCAGGGGGAGGAAGGAAACTCATTAGTAGGCTCAACCTCAAGGGGACACACCACATCTTCAGTCCACCTGTCACCAAATGATGAATGTCCACTATGCAGAGTCAACGCATTCCTCAGAAATGCAGGCAGGGATTTGTCCAAGCGTGCAAGGGGGCAGCTCTGTCTGTCTGTCTGAGCCTCGACTGAGGTCTGGCAGCTTCCCCCAGCCACGAACTCTATCCTGGCTTCTGCACTCACCCCATAAGCTACCTGATTCAAATGTGATTTCCCAACAAGGCAACAGCCCTTGAAAAGAAAATGTGCCAGGTCACTGTGAGGTGTCACCATGAGTCTCATTATAGAGTAATGAAGTCCTTTGCAGACTTACAAACCAGCATGGGTATGTAGGGTGAACAGGGATAAAAGGGGTAGCCTGATACAACAGAGTGTCCTCTGGTGAAGGGAGAGGGAGTTTTGAGGCCTTCCTGCCTGAGCAGGTACACAGTTGAGAGGAAGTGGCTGATTCTGAAGATAGCTCTCAGTCCTGCTGCCATCACCATCTGCTGGGTATCAGGACACATGGATAAGAGCAAACCAATGGCAGCCTCTGCCTTTCCCCACTTTCCTGGTGGCAGCTCCATAGGTCATGATTGGGTATGTTTGCCATGTTTCCATAGGACACTATTAGCATTCCAGAGAAGCTCCTGCTTTCCTGCTGGCCCATTCTGGTCTTTCAAGGAGTTCTCTGATGCTAGTCACCTGTATCCCAACACATGAACACACACATATGTGCGTGTACACACACACACCAGCAGTGCTTCTTCTCTGCCCATCACCACTCTAGCACTTAATGCACTTTCCCAAGTGGAGTCTTCCTTTAGGAGAAGGACTATATCTTACTCATCTCTTAGTTAACCAAGGAGGTGAAATGCCAATCCTGCTTAGTGCATCTCAGAGATTATAACAGCTAAAGGACTGACTTGGACATGGACAAGAGTAAGCACCTGATTGGTTTTAGTCATCTCTCTACACATGGAGTCAAAAGGCTTGGGTCAAGTACCTACCCTCCTATCTCCTAGTTGTGTGACCTTGGCAGGTTATTAACCACATGCATAAGGTGATAATAAAAATATTTTGTATGTTTCCAGTTCTTTCATAGTTTCCACAATAGGCTTTTCTTACATGAATGTCTTGGACCTTTTAGGGGCATCTCAGTATAACGTGGAGATATCAGGCCCGCCAGAACTCTGAGTTTATGTTCTCAGGGGAACTTCAGCAGCTACTTCAGCTCTAAGACATTTCTCCTTCTCGTCCCACTGCTCCTCCATCTCTTTATAGCAGTAACAATGATACTTAATAACATTAATATGTTAATCCATTCTGAAATTCATGGTCTACAGAACCCATCCTATCTCTCACTTTAGTTGGAGCCCATGCTGAGTCTGAGAAGTAGGTGGTATAGGTGGTGAGCAGAGACCCACAACTATAGGGCTGGAGAGCATAGGGACTAGCTTCAGGCTCTCTGAGTTACCTGGAAGGTGGGAAGCCCAATTCCTCTGTACACTGGCCTGATAGAGGGCTGCCCCCTTTCCCTGCATCCTGCACCCCAAGAGAGGGCTTGGAGTCATCAGCACCATTTTTTTCAAAAGGCAGCATGAAGTGTCAGACCATTTAGCTGAGAAAGCCATAGACAATTTTCTGCCTCCTGGGAACTTCAGATGTAAGCCAGGCCTCCAGCTCAATCTAAGTGTGATGTACACAAATAGCAGAAGTGAACAGGGGAAAAAAAAAAAAAGAAGTGAACAGGGACTTAAGAACCATGGACATCATCAGCTGGGTGGGAAGGAATTGTAGGAATGGGAACAAGATGACTTCTAGAAACTTTCATGTCTTAAGATTCTGTGTCTCCCTTCTACTTTTGGTCACACAAATTAATCTCAGCCACTGAGAAAGGATTCAATGAAGAGCACTTTCTATCTTGGTTTCATCGTCAATGGAAGGATATTCTCTAGGGTACCTTTCCTCTTTCACTTTCTAGAACTCTGAGTGACTTTGTCATTAGCCTCTCACAAGGGAAAGAAGCTTCAGGAACTGAGGAGAACCTGGATTCATTCCCTTCTCCCTTCTTCTCCTTCCTCCCCACTGTGCCTGCCAAGCATTTGGCCACCCTGTCCTGTGCTCCTCCCTGCCTAGGCCCTCAGGCTCCCTAGGCTCTTTAGTTAGTTGAGGGCTTGAGAGGCACAAGTGTGGGGTTCAGAATGCATCAGAGGCCTGATAAGGTGGAAGATGTGGTGGGCAGCGGAGAGAGAGAGATTGGGAGAGAAGCACAACCTTGATGCACAGGGGGGCTTTCATATTTAAGGAGAGAGAAAACAAGCCCCAGTGTTACAGCAAGTTCTTGTGTATATGTAAGAGCCAGTCTGTCCCCTTCCACTTCCTTGTTGCATCCTTCAGCTCCTGATGGGGACTCAGGAGCATGCCCAATCAATCACTATACATCCTGGCTCTTCTTACTATTACTTTTTTTGTAATAGCCTAGATCTGAGGATGGGGGGGGCAGTGCTTTCTGAAGTGAAGGTAATTAAAATCTGGACTCTGAGACCAGATTTGCCTAGCTCTACCCACATCAACTGTGTGACGAAGGAAAGCTTCTTAGCCTCTCTGCCTCAGTTTCCTTTTCTATAAAACAGAGACAACTACTACTAACTCCCTGGCATGAATGTGGATGCAACTGAATAAATACATACAGGCATACTAGTCAGCATTCTCTAGAGAAACAAAAACAATAGAATATATGTATTGTGTGTGTAAAAAACCTAAAAAGGCACTTATTAGATTGTCTTACAAGATCTGTGGCTGGATAGTCTCACAGTGGCCATTGTCAGGCTGGAGAGCCAGAGAAACCAGTAGCTACTCAGTCCAAGGAGCTGGAGCTCTCAGAACAAGGGCGACCCATGATGCAGCACCAACCAGAGACCAAATCTCTAAAGCTCCCTGAGGAGTGGCTGGTGTGAGCCCATGCTCAAAGGCTGAAGGAACTGGAGTCTGATGTGCAGAGGTGATGGCAAAAGCACAAAACCGACCCACTCAAGACGCATCTAATTTGCATGCACTGATGGGCTTCCTCCTTCTGCTTTTCTCCACCTGGGATCCCCAGCCTATTGGGTGATGCTGCCGTCATTCAGAGTGGGTCTTTCCCCTTTGGTTCGCTGACCCACATGCTAATCATTTCTGGAAATGCCCTCAAAGACACACCCAGAACTGAGCTTTTCTAATTTCCTAGGCATCTTTCAATCTAGTCAAGTTGATCATCAAGATTAACCATCACAATAGGAAAAGGACAGAGCAGTGCCTGGCACACAGGAAGCCTGTACAGGTGGCAACAGGTGTGACTGTGAGCCTCTAGCCCTGACAGACAAGCAGTGTTCTAATATGGTGGCCCTCCAGTGTGAGCAGGTGTCAGAATCTCCTGGAAGGCTTGCGAGAACATGGATTCTTGGGCTCCAGCTGAAAAAGCCTGAATCAGGGCCCCCAAATCTGCATTTCTGACTTGTCCCCAAGATGAGGCCTGGTGTTAAACTTCCCTCATACAGAAGAGGAAACCATGGTGTTTGAAGCTCAATACTGACTGGATCTCTCCCACTGGCAAGTGGAGGCTGCATAGATATGTACTTGAACCCAAATCTGTCTCACTCCGGAATGAGTAAACTCAACTGTCAGCAGCCTCAGGTCTTCATTCAACTGGTATTTATGGAGCATTTGATGAAACCTGCCTACATACAGCACCGTGGAGTTCACAAAGCAATTTCAAATACATGTCCACGTTTCATACACAAAAGCCTGTGAAGTAGGTCAAGTATGAATATCACCTGCTTTTACAAGGGAAAGGTAATTACAGAAGGAATGGAGGCTGGGAGTGGATTGGTGCCTGGCTCAGGACTGCAAGCTAGTAGGTGGCAGGCCCACCCGGGCTGTTAGTCTGCATGCACTGTGTTACCCTCCTGCCTCTCAGGCTCTTCATGGTCCACACAGGCAGGGAGCAGAAAGTGTAGATGTTACCTGCGTATAGATATTGCCTGTGCAGCTGCATATAGGAGACTCAGTTCCAGAATAATCCTAGGGAGAGTGTGGCCAGTGTATGCCAATAAAGTTAGCCCTAGCTCCCATGCTGAGACCATGTGAGAAAGGCATGGGGCAGCTGTAATAGGGGTGAAGTGAAGCAAAGCCTGTCCTAGGTTGGCCCCTGGAGAGGAGGGAGGATTTGCTTTGCTGTAAAGAGGCTGTGATGAGCTGGGCAGAAGATAGTGAAAGCAAGAGAGGAAGACTTCAGCAGCCAGAGTATGCCTGGTAGGAAGGATAGTGTGTGTCCAGAGGGTGGGCCTTGGAGGACCATCAAGGCCAGGGCAAATCCCCCTTACTGGACTTGACCTTTTCCTTTTTCAGGTGCCCAGAGTACATGCCTGTATCAGGCCCTTCCAGCCCCTAGCCACTTTTGGGAGACCCCACCAGCACTTCAATTGCTCTGATTAGAGGAGCAAAAACAAGCCAGGTGTTACCAGGAAATGGTCTAATTAGCACTTACTGCTGACGATTTCTTTCTTCCTTTTTTTTTTTTTTTCTGTTTTAAACCCTGGACATTTTTTATTCACTAATCATCTCTCAGTTCACCCAGTGCAGAGCTGCACGAGATTTACCTTTTGATGTTCACAGAAGAGAACTCTTGAATTTCAAAGAGCCAGCAGGGATTTGGGGGAATCAAATGCAGAAGCTACAGCCGTAATCAAACCTCATTAGAGGTTATTCTTCAAGCAGGTTTTCCTCTGTCTGCCTCATTCTCCCTTCCCGCCCTGATTAAAGGGCTGGTGGTTGGGTTTGGTGTGTTTTCTTGGGACAATCATGGTAAGTGATATCTACCCACCACCTTCTGGTGGAGGCTGCGCTCCTTCCTCTCCCTGTCCCCCACTTCCCCACAGAAAGTGATAGTGGGCTTGGGGCTTTGTGTTGGGGTTCCTCTTTCTGCCTTACACTGGTTGCCGTGATGAGAAATAGGACTTCATAAATAAAGGTACCTCTAGGCAAAGTTCCCTTCCTGGAGAGTCTGCATCCTGCATAGAAAGGGAGCTGCACCAGAAGCAGGACTTGGAATGGGCCTGAGAAGAGAGACCCTTACAACGGCTCTACGAGTGCACATTCTCAACTCCCCCTCTAACACACTCAGGACTCTAAGCATCCCACAGTGGCTGATGTGGACCAAGACTGTTTTTGAGAAACCACAAGATTTGAGGATGTGCAGGAGAAAGAGGATGCAGCCGTCTCAGTAGGCCTGAGACCTACAGTTAATACTGAAACCCAGTTTGTGCCCCTCAAATAGAGATCCACTGCACAGGAGGGGTAACTGAAGTCAATTCAATTAAAAACTCATTAATGATGCACAAAATAGTAATAATTGCTGCCATTTGTCATCACTAGTGCCAAACGTGTCCAATGCCTTATATACATTTTCTGCCTTAATTCTCTCAATGGGCCTGTGAAGTAGGCCCTCCTACAGCACCATCCCATTTTATAGATGAGATGCTTTGCTGAACAGAACAGTAAAGTAACGTAGCCAAGTTTACCCAGCTTGTATTGAGCAGGTGCTGTATCACAAGCTTCTAGGGGCAGAGCTCACTTTATCCTATACTTGAGCCAAGCATATAGTGGATGTACACCAAATACACCTCGAGGGCATGGCTCCGGGCTAAGCCACTGTGCTAGACTCTGGCAGTACAAAGAGAACTTGACAAGGGATATTGCCCTGTATGTTGCCATCTAGAGGGGGCAGCAGGCAAGGTGTGGCACAAAACTGACTGCTCAAGTCAGGAAGTGATAAAAAGCCATGGGAAGCTTCAGATACAAACTGCTGTAGGATCCCCGAGGAGGAAGCAATTAATTCTCACTAAGTAGATTGGAAAGCTGTTAGAGAGAACATGACATTTGAACTGGCCCTTGTGGGCAGCATAGGACCATTTTAGTCAGGAAAGAGGCTCTTGATTGTGAAAGAGCAGGATGCATTCAGATAATGGCCCTGGGCTAAGCGGCAGTGGGAAACGCAGGCCAGCTCCAGCTGTTGGGAGACCATGGGGCATGCCAAGGATTTAGAGGGTAGATAGTGGGGATCCACTGTGGGGTTTTGTCAGTCTTTTGTTTACAATAATGAGGAAAATCATACCATCAGATCTGTGTGTCTAAAAGCTTACTCTGGAGGCCACAAGGAAGACAGCCTGGGACTGAGAGAGGCTGGAGTAGTTCACGCCTGCTGTAATAAACCAGACAAAAGGAAAACCAAAGCTGTGCGTGTGGTATATACCTGTAGTCCCAGCACTCAGGAGGCTGGGGCAGGAGGATTATAAGTTTGAAGTCAGCCTGTGCTGTGTCATGAGACCCTGTCTCAAAAATACAAACAAATACAAAAAGAAGGTGAACAGGACAGAAGTATAGGAGGTAAATGTGGTTTGAGTGAAAATTCCAGATAGAAACACCAGTCTTGCTCACTGATTGGATGTGGGGTTTAGGGAGAGGGAGGCTTATTTGGGGTAACTTCTGAATCACCTGGATGGCTCAGTGGAAGGCAGTAGCGTTTACTAAGATGGCTCACAGATGAGCAAGGTGACTGGACAAGTCCTTTGGTGACTCTGAGTAGCTACTCCGATGCAATGCAATACTGTCTGTTTAAAATAATAAACAAATAAATTCCATTGCTTCTGGAAGACATAATGGGTTTTCTTCTTTCCTTCTCACAGTGTACTAAACCGCACCCCCATGCATCTGATCCAGGAAATCATATTAGTGGATGACTTCAGCAATGACCGTAAGTAACATCACTCACTGGCAATTTAAACACAAATGTCTGGTCCCAGCCCCTGTGTAATAGGGAGTCTGCTGGTCCATTGATTTTCTGGGGATGAAGGAAAGCCAAGGTCAGTAACAGGCATGAAAGAATTGAGTCTGTGCTCTAGTTCAGAAAGAAGATAAACATTACACTTTGAGAAACACTTTCTTGGGTGTCTGCTGTCAGTTTTTGAGGATCCACTAGTTAAATTTATAGATTCTTGCTTGGGTTGATTGATGTGTGTGCATACATGTAGGTGTGCATGCACTATGTGTGAATGCACATGCGTGAGTGTGTACAGGCTATACATGTAATATGTGGATGTGTGTGTTACTGACCTCTAACCCACATTCCTGGACATGAGCAAAGAGACCACGCCTTCCAAGGATCAGCACTGGGACCCAAGGCCCAGAAACCATGCCCATTGCAGAGATTCCTGGTTCTTATGTTGCATTAATCTGTCAGTCTGAGCTGAGGCCCTCTTTCTTGCATTCCATGGAAGGTCTGAGTGGGCCTTGTCTTTGGAATCTCTATGGTAGATCTCATCACCTGGCCATAACACAGTAAGCAGCTGCCTTTGTACCTTCCAACACACTGATTGTCACTATTTCCTGCCTCATGTCCTTTTATTCAACCTATCAAGGAACCTGAGGCCCACCCAAATTTATACCTGATCCACTTTTCCCAAAAACCATGCCAGATTTCCAGACATCTGTGTATTAAGTCTGAAAGGAAAAAGAATTATAGAAGCATTGTCAGAATTCAAGTATTGGTAGTGCAGACACCACCTTCAAGAGCCACTGGTTCCGCAGCCTGGTTGCAGTTCCACCTGGTCAACAGTATCTAGGCAGAAGGTAACCGATGGAAATGGCATGGCCACTGGGGCAGCCCCAGGTCTCAGGAGCGTGGAGCCCATCCTTGCTAGCATAGATGTGGGGAGCTGGGCACAGGGAGCCACTTCCACACTACTGTTCCAATACTGGAAACCCACACCTGTGATACGGCCTTGGCATCTCAAAGACTAATGCAGAAGTGGGCTGTGCATGAGGCCCCACGTAGTAAGATCTGGACTCCCAGTTCTAGAACTCAGTGATCTGCTCTGCCTTCCCTAGTGAGGAAGAGCTTGGTGGTGGGGCGGGGGGATACACTGCCCTCCTAGGGGTAGCCTGGCACTAAGGCAGGAGAAGCAAGTGCTGCAGGTTCATTTTGGGGCTGAGTTGTCTGGTGAGTAGCCAGATTGCTAGGACTCAAGTCCTAGAGATGGACCTTAACACTTATTAGCCATGTGACTCCAGCAAATCATTACCCTCATTGCATCAGCTTTCTTGTCTATAAAGTGGAGCTGGTTATAATTGTATGTATGGTTTATATAGACATTAGATGTGTCAGTACAATCAAGAGTGCTCAGAACAGGACCCGGCCCAGAGGAAGTCTATAAAAAAGTTTTTTCTGTTGCCTCTTAGAGTCTAGAGTCATGCAGCGAGGCCAAGGTCAGTAAACATAGCAAAATCAAAATGGTGGGACTAAAATATGGAGTTCAGAGCCAACTGGTGAGCTAAGAAAATGAGGGGGCAGCAGTCCAGCTCGAAGGTGATCAAAGCAAGTACTCAAGGGGGGTCTCTCACCCACCCTGCTCATTGTCCTGTAAGCTGGCAACTGTCATGTTATCAGCTCTGTGTGATGGAAGGTCCATTGGAAGATGCCTCCGTAATCTGAAAGCAAGTCTAATATCCATCTCCTCCGTTTCTGCCCTCCACCCCTCAGTTTTGAACAGATCCAATGAAGTGAACAAGACTCTGATCTTAACTATTAATGATCTATAGCAAGGCAGAAATGTCCCCAGGTGACCAGGCCAAGAATTCATACCTGGAATGTTTTCAAGCAAATGTGGAGATGCCACTGTGTGCTGACCTACTCCAAAAAGGCCCAATGCAGGCCGCTTTGCCTTGACCTAGGGCAGCTTGTCAGCCCCAGCCATAGCCCAGGAGCCCCCAGAGTCAGGAACAGGCTCTGTGGTTGAAGTGGGGGTGGCAAGCAGGGCTGCCTTGCTGATCCCTCCAATTCACCTGTGCACAGTAGGCACTCACACCACATGCCTTTGTCTTTGCAGCTGAGGACTGCAAGCAACTCATCAAGCTGCCCAAGGTGAAGTGCTTACGTAACAGTGAACGGCAAGGTAGGCTGTGCTGTGGGGCAGGGCTGGGGAGTGAGAGAGGTGAGGTTGAGAGAGGTGTGGCTGTGTTTGGGTTTTCAGGTGGAATGCAGCATGGCTCCTTCATGGTATTAACTAGATGACTCCCACCTGGTCATCTGTCCCTTGTATAGGCCTGGTCCGGTCCCGGATACGGGGTGCTGATGTTGCCCAGGGTACCACTCTGACATTCCTGGACAGCCACTGTGAGGTGAACAGGGACTGGCTGCAGCCCCTGCTACACAGGGTCAAAGAGGTGAGTGGGGTCAAGGAGCACAGCTGGATTCCTGCCTCCCACTTCCCCCAGCATCTCAAGACCCTGATTCTTCTGGGAACTTTGTGGGACAAGTTGCTGTTGCCACTTTGTGGATGAAGGAACTAAAGTAGAGTGGTCTGCCTAAGATCACACAGCAGAAAGTGTCAGAGCAAGGACCAGGCATGTTTCTTTTTTCATACTGTGTCCATAACAGGCCTGTACTGCCAGCAGTGGGTACTAAACACATTCAGCTTCTTGAATAACGGAGAACTGCCCTGAACCATGTCCATCAGACAGCAGAAGGTTCCAGAAAGGGAGTCCTCATGAGTACCTTCTACAGGGAGGAGGCAGCAGAATAACCAAGCTTTATCACCCAGTACCCAAGGCCTCTGTCTTCCTTCCACCCATACTTCACCTCACTCAAAGGCCCTGTGCTAAGCTGGCAGGCTAGGTGCTAAGAGACCTTTAACTGTTGTCTCTGCTCACTCTTAAATCCTCTGCAATTCTCTATGTTTTCTTTGTTCATGTCTCAGCTATTCCTCTGGAAAGTGAAAAAGGGTTTTTCCCCTCCTTATTTTATATTCTAAAATATTCACCCACTCCTCTGCTGATCGACAGAATACCCAGCAAGTTATAGACACCAGAATCTGTGTTGTTCATCACTCTTTGGTTTGTGAAGTATGAGTCGAGCATTTGTAATGTGCCCATTTCACAGATGAGGAAACAGACTCAGGGCCATTATATGATTTGGTCCAATATTCCTTAGTGGAATCTCCAGCACCAGATACTTGATGATGCCAAAACAGCGTGTATCCTGTGCTAGGATTCTAGGATGGCTTCTTGGTCTTCCGGGTAACTGCTTGACCCCTCCTTGCATAATGACAGTCTTAAAGAGTGGGAAAAAACTGAGTGTGTAAATGGCTCAGGAGAGGACCACAAGTCATGTTCATTCCAGGGAATGGCCTTGATGGGTTGATGGGCCTAGATGTTAAAGCCTATCAGGGACCACTTCTGAGCTTTCAAGAATTCAGGCCCTTAGCGTTGTTCAGAAAGATCCTCTGTTTGACATAAGACAAGGCAGAGAGATATGGATTGAAAAATACTAAGATGTGAACAGGCCAATCAGTTGAGGGGCTTCTTGGGGTACAAAAGGCCCTTCCAGATGCACCTCTCCTATGTGCTCTTGTCCTCAGCAGTCGCCCCAGTCTTCCACTCTATCACAGCTGCTCCTTTTCCCCGAATGTACCCCCTGATATTCCCATTCACCATCTCTGACCAAGCCCTTCCTGTGGCTTGATGCCCTTCCCTTCTCACCACAATTCCTCCCAGCTCTTCAGGGCCTCATCTACAGTGCTCTGCCTCCAGGAAGCCTTTCTTGACTGCCAGACCAGCAAGAACCACTAAGGAAATAGTTGTTCATTTGACTCATAATTTCCCCTTCTGGGCTAGTGCTCTGTTTCCCTTAACAGATGACAAATCTAGTGAGGACACAATTTGTTTCCCTGTGGTCACCCTTTCTAAATAGTTGCTCAGTGTTCAGAAATGATAATAAGAAACCAGGTGTATTGGGGTGGTAATAAAGTTGGAATTAGGGAGGCAGGAGGCAGCCCTTTCAGGCTGCGTAAGAGGAATTGACACTACTTAGTAAGTTCCCTGTGATTCTGTGCATCCTGCCCTGGTTTTCAAATGACCTCTAGAAAAGAAACAACTGGAAAACTCTAGTAGCAAGGAGATTCTTTGTGAGGAAGAGCTATTTGGGCGTGTCTCAGAGAGTGAAGTGAAGGAAATCCATGCCCCAGTAGGGACATTTAGTTTCCAGAAAGGTCTCTCTCTCTCTCTGTTTTTTGTGGTACTAGGGTTTTGAACTCAGGGCCTCACATTTGCAAGGTAGATACAGAAAGGTCTTTCTACCTCTGAGTTGTTGACAGAAGCCCAGAACTATCAAAGTCCTGCTGCCATTTATGCTTGGAGTTAGGAACTGGGGTACAGAAACAACTGAAGGTTAAGGTTGCAGAACCAGAAGGAGGGTTAGAGAATTCAGGGTGGTTATCTAGGAAGACAGGGGTAGGATAGAGACAGTGTCTATAGGGATTTTATAGAGAAAAAAATGACATGTTTCCTATGACCAGAGTCATAAGAGAAAGCAGTGGTTTTGTAGCTCAGGAGTATGGTTTAATAGGAAACCCATCAGGTCAGGAGCAGAGAACAGGAAGTAGGAGCTGGAACCTTTCATTTTCCATTGCAAAAGTTACCCACTGCCATTGTAGACATTTTGGAAAGTATGCAACACTAGAATAAAAAAACTAATCAACCAAATTTTACCATGCAAAGACATCCACTGTCTTTCATTTCTTTCCATTTAGAATCATTTTCTCTTTACAAAAACGTCTTCATATATAGCTGCAATCATACTGTATTTATACAATTTTGTACCCTGCTTTTTTTTTCCTAACACATAAGCATTTTCTGAGTGATCGCTAAGGTAATTTACCCCTTACCAGAATGGCAGATGTGTGGTGGTGTACTGTGCTCACTTAGGAGTTTGTCCCCAAGGAGGAAATGAAGAGCGGGATCCAGAGCATGGTATGTGTCCAAACTATTGCCTCTCCTTCCTCTGTCCTACTCATCTGGGACTCTGCCTGCCCCACTGCCCCTCTGAGCTTACTGGCCAGGACCCTGGAGCTGAAGTCTGCCGGGCTGGGAGTGGTCAGGGCTCAGATCTGATTCCAGGAGCTCTCCACCCAGAACTGTGCCCAAGCCTCCCGGGGGCAGCATCACAGTGGTGGGCTTGACCCTCACAGCCTCTGCTCTGAGGCTGACATTGTGTGTGCGTGTGTGTGTGTTGTGAAGTACATATAACAAAATTTACCATTTTAAAGTGGGTAACTCGATGACTTTTGCATGTTTAGAGGATTGTGTAACCCTCTCCGCAATCTAATTGTAAAGCATTCTTATTACCTTAAAGGGGAACTTCCTATGCATTCCTATCCTTCTCTTCTCTCTGCCCCTGACAAGCCACTAATCTACTTTATCTCTATGGATTTACCTATTCTGTACATTTCATATAATTAGAATCATAGGACAAATAGCCTTTTGATCCTGGCTTCTTTCATTCAATATATATCTGAACTTCATGTAAATTATGACAAATATCCATATTCCTGTTCATGGCCAAATAATATTCCACAGACCACATTTTGTTTATATATTCATTTATTGACAGATAGTTGTGTTGTTTCCACCTTTATAATACAGCAGATAATGTGGCTATAACATTCATATACAAATTTTTGTTTGGGTACCTGTTTTCAGTTATTTGGGGTGTATATTGAAGAGTGGAATTGCTGAATGACATGGGGAATTCAATGTTTCACCCATAGGGACCTCCATGTGACTGTCCTTGCAGATATACTTGGTTTCCTGGTTCAGCCTCAATGAGTCTGCAAAGCCCTTTTCCCCATCCCAGAGGCTCTAAGCCCATCCCAGAAGCCTCCCTGAAAGTTGCTCTCATTTCTACATCTACAGCCGGGCTTACTCCCAAGTGGGAGTGCTGTCACCTGCCTGCCACCAAACATTCCACCTCTGAAAGTCACTTGTCTCCAAGACCAAGCCGAGCAGCAAAGAGCTGGGCAGACAAATGCCAGAACTGGGTCCTGTTGTGCCCCTTGCTGGTCTGCAGAAGTTTCCCTGAGACCCTGCCTTGTGATACTGTGGGGTAGCTCCCCTGAGGCAACCCCTGGGGGACAGGGTGTGCAGGTGCAGGTCAGCCTGTGTTTCTGTGTGTCTCTATAGTTGCCATGCCTCTGCGTACAATGTGATCTCATCTTGTGAGTGGAAGTGGAAATTTTAAGCTGTAATTGGAGTTGGGATTTTCAAAAATAGAACGAGATAAGAGAGAGGCTGGGTTGAGCTGTCTTAAGCCATCCTCAGCTGGTGTTTTCCACACTGAAAACATCCCCACCACCCCTCTTCTGATTTCCCTTCTCTTCCCTCCAGTTACACGATGATAGCAGAAACACACACCAGGTTTTTATTTTTAAATATAGGATTCTTTCCCCCTTCTTATTTGCATGTTTCTTTAGTAGGAAAAAGATTTTAAGAAATCTCAATGTCTAGTGTTCAGTAAATTTATATAAATAATAGCTTACATATTCACCAATGCCTTTTCCTGTGCCTTTTTGCCTCTCACAAGAATGCTATTTAAAAAGGCAAGTATCATGTCACAAAAAAATAAGTTGTCTTCACTTTATAGATGAAGAAATGGAGGCCACAGAGCATGCTGATTCACTAAGGTCACGTGTGTTTCCCAGATGGCAGGACCCGAATGGGAATCCAGGTGTCCTGTTGATGCCCCAGTGTCAACTCCTTGAGATCCCACTTCCTGCTCCCCACACTTCTCCCCAGCTGTGTGACTACTATGCCCCAAATTGAAATTATCTATTACCCAGACTATGAGTTCTTACTCATCTTTGTGCTGCCAGAGTAGGTGTTCAGGAATACTGGTGAGTGCATGAGAGAGCCACTAGAAGTTTCTGATTGCTCACTCACAAAGTGGTTCTAATTATGTGAATCTGTGAAGAAACAAGAGGTGTGACAGCAGTAGTGATTGATGGCTACTGCCTGATGCGTTGAACCTCTGAGGCCAAACGAGGAGAGGAGATAGGAAGCTTGGATTTGTATTCAAAGGGGTGAGAAAGGAGTAGTCTAAGATTGGTCAGGGATTTCGCCAGCTGTCTGCTTAAGCATAGGCATGTACCTGCCCTTCAGAATACAGCTTTCTGTATTCTGGCCAGGTGTGGTGGCTTACAGTTGTAATCCCAGCAACTCTGGAGGCAGAGATTGGGAGAATCACAGTTCAAGGCCAACCCAGGCAAAAGTTATTGAGACCCCATCTCAACTGGACACGGTATCATGCACCTGTCATCCCAGCTATGCAGGAAATGGAAACAGGACAGTCGAGATTCTGGCTTAGGTATAAACCTGAGACCCTACTCAAAAACTAACTAAAGCAGAAAGGACTAGGGGTGTGGTTTAAGTAATGGAGTGCCTGCTTAACAAGCATGAGTTCAAGCCCCAATACCACCAAAAGAAAAAGAAAAAAAGATTACAGTCTTTAGGGGCACGGAACAGGGACTTCTAGATCTGGATATTTGTATTTCGAGTTCTTCCATCCTAAACCTCCAGCAGGAGAGGCCTCCCTGTTCAGCTCTAACTGACTGCTTGCTGCCAGCACTGACACAGTATCCTCAGAGGAGGTCATAGTCCAGTCTTTTAGTCAATGCCATTGAACACTTGCTGCCTACCAGGCTGTGTGCTGGGACTGAGGGACACAACAGCAGAGCTGACACTTATCTTGTGTTCCCTCACCCCGTCACTGAGAGAGGTGATACCCTGGTTTTAGTGGCTCACTTATAAAGTCTCCTACAGCCCCTTTTCAAGGTCATGACTCCACATAGGGCTTGGCCCAAAAGAGCTTTCACTACCTGTCTAGTCTCCATGACGCTCAGTCAAGCACACACCACAGCCAAGTTGTGACAAGAATCCTAGGACAGAAGCCCTCAGAACTGGTAGAAGAGTGCTCAGGAGTCTGTCACAGCTGTGGGGCAACACCCATAGTAGTTTCTGGGGAGCCTGTGGTCAAGGTGAGAAATCAACACTTTATTTTGTGTTTGATTTTCAAATATGGAGGGAAGATTTTTTTTTTAATTAAAACAAAGTACAATTACCATTTTAGGGTCCCTAGGACCATCCTTGGGCTCAATAATTTGCTAGAAAAACCCAAAAGTCAGCAAGGCTGATAAAATCATTGTTATGGTTGGTTTACAGTGAAATGATAAAGCTTGAAATCTGTAGCAGGCAAAGGCGCCTAGGGAGGGTCTCAGGCACAAGCTCTCAATTGTCTTCCTCCAGTGGGATGCAGAGACAGCACTTATTTGTCCCTCCAAAAATGTGTGGCAACACATGGGGAATACTGCCAAGCAGGGAGATTGCCCACACCACACCCTGGTATCCAGGGCTTTTGTTGGTCTGGTCACATAGATGTGGTTGACCTCCCTCATGGTCTCCATGCCCGAGTAGAGGTCAAGTTGGTACTTCATGGGCCAAGGCTCTCCCTATAAACCCCTCTGTTAACATAGGCTATCTGGTGTGGCCCAAGTCTCCCAGGTAAACAAGGACTGTCTTTTAGAATATTCCAAGGACTTAGAGGTTTCCCTCAGTAGCTGGGCACAGGCCAAATGTATATTTGGGCAAGTTTAATCCTTTACTACACAAGGACTTAGTGCAGCTTCATAGGCTCCCAAACTCAGTAAGCAAAGGCAAAATTAAGACTTTGTGAGACTTATGCTGAACTAAGGCTATTTCAGAATTCAAGTGACAAGTGCATCTTTGAGGATGTGTGTGTTTGTGTGTGTCTCAGTGTGTTTGATGCATATAGATCCACACACAGCCATATCCTGACAATGGCCTGAGAAGAGCCCCAGAGGGACTGTGGCAGGTGCAATGCCAATGGTGAGTGGAGCCTGTGACACTTCAGCCGTAAAGCAATGCATTGACAATGAATGTTGCTTTCCACCTGGGCCAATTGGTTTTCAGAGGCACCTTGTTACTGTCAGAGTCAGTTGAATGTGGGAGACTCAGGGCCAAATTAAGTCTGTGAACTTAGAATCAGGCCTTCAGTGAATCGGGAGCCTAAAATAAGAAGACAACCTAATTTGGGGGAAAGATTGCACCAGGAAATTAAATGGCTTCAAGCAGAAGCAGAAGCTCCTGCCTGCACCAGCCTAAGGGTAGAAAAGTGGTCCTGCTGCCTCACTGACACCTTTTGGCCTCCCCACACTGCTTGCTTCCCAGTGAGCTACTGAGAGTCTCCATGTTCCTAACTTATCTGCACAACCCTTAGGCCTGGTTTCCCCTAATGCCAGCTGGGCTTGAGGACACTCACCAACAATTGGGAAATTTGAAAAAAAAAATGTGTACAATAACTGGGCAGCCCCGAAGACCTAAGGACTCTGGCTTGCACATTTTGAAAATATTCCCTGGATGATTTTGATGCTCACAGACTGGGTGACTTGGGAGAAGTGGTAAGATTGGAATGCAAAATACAAGGCTGTTTATTTTAATGGACAAAATAATTGTACATATTCATGGGATATGTGTGACATTTAGATACATGTATACAATAAGTAATGATCAAATCAGGGCAATTAGCATATCTGTCACCCCAAACATTTATCATTTCTTTGTGTTAGGAACATTCAAAATCCTCTCTGGTAGCTTTTTTAAAATATATAATAAGTTCTTTTAAATTCAATTCACTCTGCTGTGCTATTATATAGGATTTATTCTTCCTTTCTAACTATATTTTGCTATTCATTATCCATCCTCTCTCAATCTTCCCTCCCCCTACCCTTCCTAGCTTCTGGTGACCTCTCTTCTAGTGGGAGAATACCATATGTTTTCACTCATACAGGAAAGTAGATTTTTATGGTCTTGGATGCTATGCTAAGGAATTTGTACCTTATCTTAGAGGTGATAAAAGTTTGGGGAAGTTGAGTGACATAGGCAGATTTGCATATTGGAAAGACAGCTTTGACAGCTGTAGAAAGAAAGGAAAAGAGCATGAGTGGAATGGGTGGGGCTTAGGGGCCCATTGCAGTTCTCCAGGATGAGAGGATGGAGGAAGGGCAGGGTAAATTCAGGGAACCATTTTAGAGTTAGAAAAAGAAGAACTTGGGCTGGTTGATGGCAGGATAAACCTTCTTAATTTAGTACTGGAGAGGGGGCATGTGATGATCTGTTAGAAGTAGTGAATTTAGGGAAAGGAGCGTGGGTGTGGAGGTAATGAAGCCATCCTTTGAAGGACTGAGGGAATGCACATGGAGGTAGCCAATAGCCTATTGGGCTGGGAGCTAGGAGGGACACTGGGGCTGGAGATACAGATATGTGAATGTATGCCTACAGGGGACAGCTCTTCATCAGCTTGTCCAGGAACCATAGGCCAAAGGTGAAAGTATTTGAAAATTCTGAGAGGTTCCCACTCTGGGTACATGGCTTTGCTTTGGGGAGATTCAGGCTGGCATTGCCTTGCCAGCTGATTGTACCTCTGGTTTCTTAGGTCCTATTAATGGTGAAGACTTCTGGAGCCTCTTCTTCCAGGTTTCCCCTTTCTCCATGGACAGCACTCCCTATCCAGCCCCTGCCATATCTCCATTGTTGTCACATAGCCACTGTGGCCAATGAGACCCCAGCAATCAAGGAAAGGCTCTTGGCATTTTAGGCCTCGGAACTAGAGGGGTCACAGGGTCCAATGCTCCATTCTATAGATGATGAAATTAAGATCCAGAAATTAATGTGCTTTTGTTTCTGGCCCTACCAGGCTGAGACCCTACCATTCTCTATGACTCCCAGACAGGCTCCTCTGCAAACTGAGTACAGGTTCTTTTGTTTTACAGGACTACACACGGGTGGTATGCCCTGTGATCGATATCATTCACCTGGACACTTTCAACTACATTGAGTCGGCCTCGGAGCTCAGAGGGGGTGAGTGAGGCTGACTCCTTCTCCCTAGTGAAGACTTCCTTCTCCTTGCTGTGGCCTGAAATGGAGGGAAGTGAGGGAAAACCTCTTAGTGGGTTTGACCAGATCATCTGGCCCTGGTCCCTATAACAGAATTCAGTCCAGCTTGGTACTTACACACAAAACTGTGAAGGGAAGAGTCAGGGGAAACCCCAACCCCTGAACTCTAGCTTTAAGACTGGGCTCATCCCAGGGCCTGAGGATGTGGCAGAAACAAGGATTCCCCCAAAGTCAGGTACATAAGGCCTGACTTGTTCTGACACCTTGGCATTAGCTCTGCCATTTTCTAGAGACCCTCCCCAGCTTTCTGCCCAGGGCCCAGCACTGCCTCCACTCCAAGATCAACTTCTAGGTTGTTCTGGTGGTCTTCAGGCCTCTCAAAAACCTGCTGACACCTTCCTGAGACTTGGGGCCTGGCCACTTACCAAAGCTATATCCATCTTGGGCCTTACCCCAGGCTGTTATCCTCTGTCCTGTATTCCCTAATTCCACCCAACAGAGAAGCTTCAGACAGGCAGTAGAAGGTAGAACAAGAGAAGGGAGCTGCGAGAGAAAACTTTAGAAACCTACTGCTGATCAATCTAGGGGAGTCCTCGCTTCCCAAGGACCAGCTTCCCTGAGAGTATCCATGAATTTCTAGAAAAGGTGCAAAAAACAAGTTCTGGAACCAAATCAATCAGGTTGGTGCTCTGTTTTAGGATTTGACTGGAGCCTGCACTTCCGGTGGGAACAGCTCTCCCCAGAACAGAAGGCTCAGCGCCATGATCCCACTGAGCCTATCAGGTGAGTAGGAAGGGTCAGCACAGGGGGGAAGTGGGCAGGTTCAGCACCACTTGGTCCTTCCTGCCATTCCCTGGTGTAGGCAAGGTCCACAATAGATGCTCAAAGGATTGGGCGGACAGGAAAAGAATCCTGTGCCAGGCCATCTCTATTTCTGCCCTTATTCTAGGAGGTTCCCATCTCCATGGAGACTTCTATGTAAGGGGATAGGGCTGGGTGGAGACCTGTGCTGAGCACTCAGCACTCTTCATCCTTAGACAGGCCATGATGGCCTTATACTTTCTGCAAACAACTGAGAGTCAAAGATGGTCCTGTTTGGGACTCCGGTAAGGGAAAAGATGGCTTCTAGGGTCAAGAACCCTCAATTCTTGGCTGTCAGGGTGAAGTCTGAATAAGTGGAGGCTGTAAGTGCTGTAAGTGGAGGCTTGTATAAAGCCATGACCACTGTTGTGTGTTAATCAGCACATCTCCAGTCTGTGCAAGAACATGGTGGCATGAACTCTGGGCTGCTTGTGTTGTGCAGTGGGTGATTCTGCCCTGCTCCACAGTCCTATCATGGCCCACAGCTGTCTGCTTATAGCTGAGGGTCTATCACAGGAGATAGACCAGAACAGAGCAGAGTGGTCTACCCCATGGGTGAATCTATGTTCTCACTATGAAGATCTCAGGTAGGACCTCCAGGCCTTTTTGGAGCCTCCAAGCTAAAACAGGCCTGCTCTGGGGGCAGCAGGAAAATTAAGTGCTTGGAGAACCACAAAGAAGGCTACTGGATTGAGATTTCTCTGTCCAGTAGCTTAAGGATGCCCAAAACTATTTGAGAATATCTGGTCTGGTGCCTCCTACATTATAAATGCTTGATCATTTTCACTGAGTTGACTTTTTTCCAATGTATGTCAGTTTGCATGTAAATTTCACATTTTTATAGGGATCCTAATCCTATTGGATTAGGACTCACCCTAATGTCCCCATCTTTTTGATTATCTGTAAAACTCTGTCTCCAAATAAGGTCACATTTTGAGGTAATGGAAGTTAGGACTCAAATACACCTTTTTTTCCTGGTGTAGGAAATACAATTCAACATGCAGCAGATGGGTAAAAATGAAAAATAAGGAGTGGGCCTGGAAACGGTGACAGGTGCTACCATAATTCTTCTCTGCCTGGTCAGTAGCCTGCTGGCTCTGCTCCCAATAATGGAGGCTCTCATCATCTGGGGAGAGGCGCGATGAGTGAGGTTGGCTGTCTGAGAGGTCAGAAGATTTACAAGCAGAAGGCCAAACTATGGAGCAGGTTCTTGTTTTAAGTAACTGGAAAATGTATTGGGCCTTCCAAAGAAGAACAGGAACAGTAAGAAAATGGCCTCGAGTTCTAGACTCCCAGAGCTGAGGAGTTTGAAACCGTACCCTTCTACAACTAACCTCCCTCTTTCCTTCCAAACGCACAGGACTCCAATCATAGCCGGAGGGCTCTTTGTGATTGACAAAGCCTGGTTTGATTACCTGGGGAAATACGACATAGACATGGACATCTGGGGTGGGGAGAACTTCGGTGAGTTCCTGTCTTGTAGATCCTGACCTAAACCATTTGGTACATCCTGAGAGCTGGAGGGGGGGAATCTCTGTGTCCTTAGGCCCAGCACCAAGCTGAACAGACACATGTGCTTGACATAACACATGTGAGATTTGAGAGAATCATTCCTTTGGGAGAACACTGAACAGCACGCCAGAGTAAGTTATAGGAAGAAAGCCATAACAAGATCATTTCTCTATGGGGTAACAGGATGCTGAGGAATAGGGAAACATATGCGGAGATAGACTTTGGAGGGAAAAGTGAGATACAAAAGCCAGGAGGACCAAGGTGAAACACCAAGTCCCAGGAGCCAGATGTGGGCTTGAACTAGGAGCACTGTACCTGGGAATCTGGAATTGAAAGGAGGTTGAGGAGGAGGAGAATGACAAATAGGAATGACATTAACATCCATCTACATCCCTTGTCCGCACTGAGTATAGTTCGTGCCCTGAGTTAACGAGTCAGGGTCAATGGAATTATCTTGCCCATATCTTAGTGGGAAAGGGTGAGGAAGAGGGACTGGTTACAGGGCACAAAGTGTGCACAGGTCTGGCCGCAGTGGTGCAGGACTGTGGTTCATAGCTACAGGAGAAGCAGTTAGAAAGCCCAGTTCTGCCCTGCTAGTATCACTGAGTAGCCCTCATTTCCCGTATGGATTCAGTGTGCCTTCCGGATAATTGCCTCACTCTTCCGGATAATTGCCTCACTTCTTGGGGTTGTGAAAATCCACTGAGGTAAGCACCCTGGCACCATGTGGCATGGGCATAATAAATGCAAGCTGCCTTCCAGCAGGGAGCTAAGAGGTCTTGTGCAAGCTGCACAAGAGCAAGGATGTGTCTGTTTTATCCCTGGCCATCTCCTGCCATGCAGGAGCCCACAGTAGCTGTCGACCAAACAAACCACAGAAGAATAAGAGAGAAAATCCCAAGGTGCCAGGCCCTTCCCCTCTCTGAGCACTGAGAAATGTGTTGGTGCAGGCGCTGGGGACAGTGTGCAGGCCAAGAGAGTGATCCATGGCTCATCCTGGCATTCAGCAGTAATCCCAGGCGTTGTCTACTGCCATTGTTGTCTCCTGTCCTGCCCTCAAAGTGGTTTATGACTTTCTTCCTCAGTCACTAAGAGTTATTTCCTGGAAATTTATGGCTTCTGGCCTGACCCACAGCATCTGTTCTCCCAAACTGGGCAGTGTAGAGAAATCCATCAGAAAAGTTGGTCTCTTGCCAAGCGGGGGCCCGGCTGGAAGCACAGACAATGAAACAGAAAACTCTACTACCCTCTAACAAACCCACCCCTCCTGAGACACAGTCCGTGAAAGCCCCATGGATTGTGATAGGGGTCACTGCTATGTTACTATGGGTTTCACTGACAAGTCTGCTGGCACCAGCCCAGGAGAACTTGGAGCCAGGTAGACCCTTGCATTCTCAGCGGGGCAGGGATTTCTCTTACTGGGTAGAGCTGACTGTATGTCCTGTCACTCAGAGTACTCCTTACTTAGTGATGAGTTCTAGCCTTCCTCCATGCTGGCAAATGAATGCTCTCCGCAGCCCCTTTGATAGACAGCAGTCATCCTGTGTCTGCCTCAGTGCTGCTCATAATGACACAGTCCCTGTTTCACAGTTCAGCACATTCTGTGTTGAGAATTTTTTTGTAGAATTGTTAGAAAATTCTTCTAAGTCATAGCCCGGCTCCCTCCAGCGTGTCTGCTGCAGTTTTTTCTGCCCTCTTGAACTGCACAAGGTGAGGATGATCCCTCTTTCACGTGGCTGTCTCATTTGGATGCAGGCAACATGTCATTTTCAATGATGGCATATTCTCGTCCAACTTACCAGCACCTTTCTTCTATAGCAATGTTCACACACATCTGCTCAAATCAAGAAGCAATCTCATCTAGCTGGCTTCCGAGTCGTTTGGCATTAACAAGGGCTGATTTGAATAGAGAAGTTAGGAAAGGGTCCCCGGGAGGTGTCGGAGAGACATTTTATAATCCATCACAAAAAAATCTTAAACCACACAAAAAATAGCACTACAGACAGCATCACAGGAAACTTTGCCCCCTGACATTCCATTATGTTAAACCCAACTAACAGCACTTCCAAACCCATTTCTGGATTTTTATTGGGGAGGGGGATTTTATATGCCAGAAAATACAGTGCTTTTCCAAGGGTCGATATATCATGTGGACAAGGTAACACCTGCAGATGGGGATAACAAAGATACATGAAGACAGGAATCTGAAAGTGAGTCCATGAGATCATAGGGGATTTGGAAGCGGGGGTGTGAGCAGTGCTTCAACTGCAAAGGAAGGACAGTGCCCAAGTGAAGGTGTCCAGGTGAAAGAAGCTACCTGTCAGAGTAAAGGAATCCTGGCTCCAAGGCTGATTCTCCTGCAGAGGGTGGCTCTGGGGTGTCCTCCTCTGTGACTGAGATGCCTGCCTTCCCTGCCCTCTCTCTCGCCCACCCCCTCTGTTGCTCTGTGCCCTCATCACCAGGTTCTCCTCACTATCATTGCCCTGAGTCCTCTTATGTATTTGTTTAGTTATCTGTGCCTGCTGCCCCGCCCTGCCTCCTCCTAAACCTGTAGCTCCTTGAAGGCAAGAGTGTTCATCCAACTTCTCATTCTTGAGAACAGAAACTGCAAAAAGCAAGAGACTGAATGGGAAGGGAACTCAAGCTGGGAAAGACAGTGTAGTAGACAGTTATCCCTCAGTATCCATCAGGGTGGGGGAGCACCAAAATCTGTGGTTGCTGAAGTCCCTTATATAAAATAGCTTAATATTTGCATATAACCTATACACAACCACTTGTATTCTTTCAATTATCTCTCAATTACTTGTAATACTTAACACAATCTAAATGCTATATAAATAGTTGTTATACTATATGATTTAAAGGAAAAAAGTGTCTGTACATGTATGTTCAGGACAGTCACATTTTTTTCAAATATTTTCCGATAAAATATAAGCCATGGTTGGTTGAATCTATAGATGAAGAATTCATGGACATGGAGAGCTGACTGTACAATATATGAGGTGCCATTTAAAATGGTCTCATTGCTTTAAATGAAGCCATGCTTAAGGGTTCTCTTTAATCATGAGTATAATAACAATGGCAGGCCCACATATCTTTCCTTTCTGGAAAATAAAATTTCTGTGTGTTCTAGACGTGTTTGCATATGTAATATTGACTATTTCATAGCACAAAAGTATATTAGATTATTGGCCACAACAACCATGACTGTGCCCAGTCATAAGGTGCCCTTGCCCTGCTCTGCCTTGCTTTTCATCTGCAACTGCTAATGGATTGACTCCAGGGCCCATGTAAAAGCCATGCCATGTCTTGGTCACCTCCCACCCCACTCCTACCCACCCATCACCCATACTGATGTCGGTGACCCTGATGCCATCCTTCCCACCAAGTGTTTCTAAAATAAGCTGAGGGCTGGCAGAGTGGCTCAAGTGGTAGAGTGCCTTCCTAGCAAGTGTAAGCCCAGAGTTCAAACCCCAGTACCACCAAAAAACCAAAAAAATCCAGTCCAAAATAAGCTGAATAGTTTTGATAATTATATCCACAGATTAGGATATGAGCAGGCTTTAGGCAAATGTAGCTTTTAGACTTTTTTTAGAGTTCATTTGCATTAAAATTGGATGCTTAAACTCCAATTTGCATAACACAAGATACATGTAATATATCTACTTACTTTGAGCTGCATCTTACTTTTAGCTTTTGGTCTTTAGAGGTAAAAGGAATCTGTTGCCCAATGTGTGTGTGTGTGTGTTTGTGTGTGTGTGTGTGTGTAAGTGGTGGAGATGGGAGGATGGGAGGGTACACATTTCCAATAAAAGAGGCCTTGGCACACATACAAGGGAGAATATGGGATTCCTGAATTTAGAATGAGGGATTTCCAAAGCACAGCAGACACAAAGGACAGTGCAGAAAAGAGAGAGATAAAGTAGAGCCCAGAAAGGACCCACCACCACCCACCATCCCCATAGTGTAATCTGGGATGCCAAGCTATTCCAGGCTTGGAGGATGTGTGTTACAGGCTGTGGAATCAGACAGGGTAAGTTTGAATCCCATAGTCATTACTAGGAAAGTTACTTCACCTCACTGAGCCTATTTCCAAGTCTTAAGGGAGAATGGCCCCACAAAGATATCTACTTCCTAATCTCTGGGACCTGTGGGGATGATACCTTGCATGGCAGAAAGAACTTAGCAGATGTGATTGAGGTCACTAATCAATGACCTGAAGTTAGTAGGTGATGCACCTGGGTCCAGTCTTATCCTCAGGCCCCTTAAAAGTAGAGAGCTTTCTCAGCAGGAGGCAGCAGAGAAGTGACATAAGTAAGAGAGGTTTGAGGTTCCAGAGGCACTTGACCAGTTGGTGATGGTTTGAAAGTATCAGGGAGGGGACCCAGGCCAACAGCCAGCAAAGAAAGGGAACCTCAGACCTGCAGCCCCAAGGAACTGAGTCCTGCAAACAACCTGAATGAACTTGAAGGCCGATTCTTCTTCAGAGCCTCTGGAAAGGAACAAGGTCCTTCTGACACCTTGATTTCAGTCTTGTGAGACCCTGAGCTGAAGACTCAACCAAACCTACCAAGTTTGTGGTGAATCATTATGGCAGCACTAGAAAATGATCATATCCCCATATCACAAAGCTGTGAGAAGACAGTAAACCCAGGCAGTACCTCTGCTCCAGCCAGGTTGGCTGCATTCCCCTTCCCACTGCAGGATAGCAATGTCCCTTAAAGGAGGACTGTGTCTGACCTGTTGGAACAGTTTATTTCTCAAGTAGAGAAATGGCCTCATCTGGGAAGAGACTTACATGTGATGAAACGTCATCTCTCCTGCAGGAGGAGAGTAAGCACAGTTCTGTCCCTTAGCTGGGTTACTTTGCAAAAGCCCAGTAGCCGGGTGTGATCCCATGAGGCCACTCTCCTGAACTTCTCCAGTTCTAAAGGAGCTCCATCAGAGAGGACACTGGCTTTTCATTTTCCATCAGGAGTATGGAAAGATAGATGTTGCTACTTGACATTTGTAGTCATACAGCCACTGGTGACCATTGTATGCCTGTGTTAGTATTTTTCCAGAAAGCAGGGGTCTGAGTACAGCCTTGATTGTCCCAGATGTGGGTGATAAGCAGCTGTGCTCACAGATTCAAAGTTGTCTTTTGTGGACCAATAAGATCATCTCTAGCTGGAGGCATGTCTCAAGTGGAAGAGCGTCCGCCTGACAAGTGCAAAGCTCTGAGTTCAAACCCCAGTACCACCAAAAAAAAAAAAAAAATCAAAAGGTTACCTAGTCAAGTCTATGCATTCATTAAAGAATAATAACAGAGTGTCTTACCCATTTTGTGTTGCTATAACAGGATGACACAGACTGGCCTATTTATAAAGAACAGAGATTTATTTCTTGCAGTTCTAGAAGCTGGGAAGTCTGAGGACAAGGAACCACATTTGGTGAGGGCAGCATGGGCTTGCTGCCAATGACAAAAGGTACAAGGGCAAGACAGCATATTGAGGGTTGGGAGAACTAATCCTTTTATCAGGAAACCACACTCACGATAACAATATTAACCCATTCATGGGAACAGAGTCCTCACAACCTCTTAAATGGTCCTACCTCTCAACCCTATTGCTTTGGGGTTTACGTTTCCAACACATGAACTTTGGGGCACACATTCCAGCCATAACACAGAGCTTGCTTCCTGGCCCAGTAAACCTTGGGAACTTAAAAAACTGCTGAAAGGTAAGGTTCCTGTCACATAAATAGATGTGCGAGTTTATGAATGACAATAACCAGATGAATCTGTCTCTGTCCACCACTGTCTTCTCTGTCCTCAATAGGTTTAAACTTGAGCAGAGGTAGAATGGATAATATTACTGTATGTACATCATACATTTGTACAGATTATGAGGTCCATGTAAAACAGGACACATTACAGGAAGTGGTTCCCATGTGGAATCATGCCCTTTGCCTTTCTTAGAAGCCAGTCTATAAAATGAAGTTGGATCCTTGACCAGCACCATAAGCAGAGAGGCCTGAAGAGCTGTAGTGTGCTTCCTGGGGAGAGGAAACACTCGTGTCCCCTGCCTGCTGTCAGATGGGTGTTAGTGCTGATGAACGATGAGGGCCCTGGGAGAGCTGGTGAAAACAGCTGATGGTTGATAAGTTGGAAGGAAAGAGATGGGAGTGGAGGGCAGGAGGGCAATTTGCTCTCAAATATGAATCTGAAGTTCAAAGAAAGTGAGACCCTATCAGTGAGGCTGGAGTAATTACACATCTCCCTGCCTGGAATGCAGAGCGGATCTGGGTGTGCTTGACATTCATTACCAAGATGATGATGTAGGTGCTGAGTCAGCAAGAACCCCATATAGACGCCCCACAATCTTTTGCACCCTCCTCCATGAAGATGACGATGTTGGGGGAGTACAAACCTAGAGAGTGAGGCTCTAAATGTGCCTGGAGGGACCTGCCTCAGTCCTTGCAATTCTCAGAGGCCCTGGCAGTGCCCCCCTACAGGGGCCTCAGGATCAGCTAACTTTCCCAAAGGCGTCAGCAGAACTCTGCATGGCTCACTGGCCTAGGAGGATATAAATCCTTATCCTGAAGTCAGTGGTACAAGAAGGGCAGGGCTAACACATGTCCTGGGTTTTAAATATTCCAGTGTAATGTCTATAAATCACTAATCAGAAAACTGCAAGCTGTGACCCCTAGTGTATCTTGACTCTTGTTTGCTTGGCAGCAGCACTGGGACCCACATGCCTTCCAGAACTTCAGTTATAATGATCAAACTGCAGAGTAGAGTAACTTATCCCAGGGCAGAGAGGAGAAGAGAACTAAGATGGGCATTTTTTAGAATTGGATGAGTGAGTTGATAAAGTAGAAATGTGACAGCCAGTTATGTGTTTGTCACTCATGGTAGTTTGTGAGTGCCTTGAAGTCAGAATCTATGTATCCACAGCTGCTTTGGCCAATGGCAGATGTTCAGTGTTGAAGCAGGGTGACGTCAAGGCAAAACCTTGGATTTGGAGTTTGGAGCATTGGTTTTTAGCTACTTTGCAATTGCCCTAGCAGAGCTTCTGCTTCTGCATTGCAAACTAAGAGCATCAAAAACCACAGTGTTAGAGGACAAATCAGCTACTGCCTGAAGAAGAACCTAACAAAACTGGCCCAGAAATACAAGAAGGGGTTGATTTCTCCTCTGGCTAATGTTTGAGAAATTGGGGATTTTTTGCAGTAATAACACAGACATAGGAAAATGAGGAGGAAGAATGGGCTTCCCAGGGAAGAGGATGATGCTGAGAGGCCTAGAAGAGGTGGGATGATGACCAGAGGATTCCATGAAGTATCAGCTAGCCCCTGGAAAGTGGGTGGTGCAGTCTGGAGTAGACGGAGGGAAGTCTTCACTATCCAGTAAACACCGGCTCAACTAAGGAAGTAGTGAAGGGAGCACACTCAAATACAAAGCCATGAGGTGAAGGAAGAGAAGAGGGTGGAGAAGGAACAGGGCCAGGTGATGGTGCTGTCAAAGGTGGGGTCCTGTGCAGGACTGTGGCAGAGGGGAGGGGTCAGTGGATTTAGAGAGAAACAAAAGGCTGGACAGAGGGAACACAGCAAGAGAAATAGATTGTGGGGTGGGAAGGATGGGGTTGAGGTTGGAGAGATTTGCTTTGCAAATGAAGGGGACATATGTCACATTTGAATAGATGAGCAGAAGCATGGCATATCTTTAGAGAAAAGCTGGCACAGAGTGTATAGGTTATATCTAGTAAGCAAGGCCACCATTTCTCATGTTGGAAGATTAGAGGGCTTCCTTTCTGGGAAGTGGAGCAGACCCTGCTTGGAGTCCCTGGAGAGGAGTTGATGGGAGCTCACAGGATTGAAGACCTCCTGAGGCTCAGAGTCACACATGTGCTGACACCATTCCATGCATGATCCCTGAGACCCCTCAGTGTAGTGGCTGATGGCTGTGTGAGTGTTGGGGAGTGGTCCCAGCTATTCCTTGCTCAGTAGCTCACACAAACACCAGGTTTCAGGGCCCATGACTCAAACAGTGCCCAGGCCAAATGTCAGCTCACTCTATACCAGAGAGTCGAAATCACAGATGTTAAATTCAAGAGATCAGGCAGGTGTCTTCTATAATGCTGCAAAAGACAGAAAGGAGGAGGAAGTCTTAAACGGTCTTAAGAAGTTAGAAGCACTGTATTAAGTTTTCAAAAGACCAGCTTCAGAAGAGTGTCTCAGAGTACATGCTGCTGAGCTTCCAATTGCACATGGAGTTTACAGTCATTCCCCGAATTCTGTCTCATTTGATGTTGACAGCAGTCCTGTGGAGTATTTTTACGATCTTTGTTTGACATATGAGGAAATCAAGCCTCAGCAAGCTGAAGCAGGTTTCCCAAGGACACAGCTAGTAGGTTATTGTAGACTGGAGAATGCAAAGCAGAGTTCTTCCTGTTTCTTCTCCCTCTGTGTTCCTGGGAGTGAGCTGCATCCTATTTAGGAGAGCACTTGGACTACAGGCAGAAGAGCAGGGACAGAGAAGGTGATGGAGTAGGCTGGGTATGGAGGAAGCAGGAAGGGATACGAGAGTGAAAACAGGGAAGGATCGGGAGGAAGAATTTGAGTTTAGATTCCTGCTTGGAGAGTTGAAATGGAGACAGAACAGGAAATAGAAGGGAAGCAGATGAAAAAGGCCCTCCAAGGTGAGGAAACGGGGAAGCTGGGAGGTAGGGCCCAGGCGCAGGGCAGGCATTTGATGGGAAGAACCTGGAGTATCTGAGCATCTGCATCCTTGTTCCTTGCTCCTGGACATCCAGTCTGCTTCCCTGCGACCCTTCGCACAGACAACCACCCATGGGTATGACTGTTCCTGAGCCACCTGTGACCTTCACACTTCACACTTGAGCTTCACTGACGAAGCATGGGCTGGGCAGAAATTCTCACAGATTGGGAGCTGCTCTTTCTACCAGTTACTTACCCAGTGGGGTGCATGGGTAGCTGACCCTCAGTATAGTCAGTAAGGGTGTACATTGTGTGCAGAGAATTCCAAAGCAATAATACAACTAACAGTGCATCACCATACACTGGCATTTCTAAATAACAGCAATGATAAAGTCCTCTTCCACCCTACACCCTGCGTTGTATGCCCCTGTTCCCCTAGGGCTGAAGCTGGGGCAGAGCCCTGCCTGGAGTCTTCCCTGAACAGTCACAGGAAAAAAATATAATAACCACAACTATCTCCAACTCCACCCACCCACCATTCTGAGATCCCCACAGCCACAGCTACCAGGAGGAAATGGGGGCAGGGGCAGGTGTTGGGAGCATCCTCAACAACAGCTTACAGCAGTTTCTGCAACTGCTTTCAGCTCTTGTTACTACTCACACTCCCTCATCTTGGGCTAAGATTCAGGTGGCTCTTAGCCAATGGTAGAACTGCCGGCTTGGTGTTGAAGGAGTGTTCTGTGGATGCCTGGTCCAAGTGCCTTCTGGGGGTGTAATCCTTTCTGTTGCATCCTCACCATGTAATTTAGCCTGTCCTGAGTCTTCTCGTGACAGATACCTGGTTCCTGACTTGGTAAATTCTCCAGTAGAATGCCCTTCACCTCATTCCTTCTTCTAAATGTGGCCAGTTTGTGGCTCACTCATCCTATATTAGTTCATACCACCCTAGGAAGTGTTGGGACCATCATCTGTTCTTGGCCTAAGCCTGGTGCCTCAAAGCGGGAGGAGTGGTATTAGGAGGTAACAGGAGAAATGTGGTTGTCTTGCAGAAATCTCCTTCCGTGTGTGGATGTGTGGAGGAAGCCTGGAGATCATCCCCTGCAGCCGAGTTGGGCACGTCTTCCGGAAGAAGCATCCCTATGTTTTCCCCGATGGAAATGCCAACACATACATAAAGTAAGTGCATATCTCAAGTCAAGGGTTTGGTACCCTGTTAGATGTCCTAAGTGCTTTGGATAGACATGAGCTGCACATCTGCCCCCTAGACAGAGTCTGCACACACACACACACATACACACACACACACACACCACACACACACACACCACACACACACACACACACACACACACACACACACACACACATACACACACACCACACACACACACACCACACACACACATCACACACACCACACCCCCCCACCACACACACACACCACAACACACACACACACACACAACACCCCCACACACACCACACACACACACACACACACACACACACACACACCACAACACACACACACCACACACACACCACACACACACACCACAACACACACACACACCACACCACACACCCACACACACACACACACCAACACACACAACACACACACACCACAACACACACAACACACACACACACAACACACCAAAACACAACACACCACACCAACAACACCACACACACACCCACACACAACACACAACACACACACACACCACACACACACACACACACCACACACACACACACACACACAACACCAACACACACCACACAACACCACACACAACACACGCACACACACACCACACACACACACACCACACACACACACACCACAACACACACACAACACACACACCACACACACACACACACCACACACACACCACACCACAACACACACACACACCACACACACACACACCAACAACACACAACACAACCACACACACACACACACACACCACACAACACACACACACACACACAACACACACACACACACACACACATCAACACAACACACACCCACACACAACACCACACACACACACCACACACACCACACACACACACACACCACACACACACACACACACAACACACACACACCACACACACACACACACACACACACACACCATACACACACACACACACACACACACACACACACACACACACCACGGCCTTAGAGATGTCAAGTCTCTGGTCAGTGCTTTCCTGCAGGGCTCAGCTCCAGGCATTTGGGGCTGTTTGGGGTGCAAAAGGGAAGAGCTGACCTTTTTCCCTGAGTTCTGCCTGGGTCACTAGGAAGAGGTCCTTGGAAGCTGTGGGGAATGGGAAGCACAGGAAGATACAGCCTGGGTGCCTCCTCCAGGGCTTCCATGCGTACCAGAAGTGTCCAAGCTGGGACACATCCCAGCATGCTTTCTGTCTCATGTGCTCTCATCTTCTACCTGGGAACAATATATCCATACCTACCAGGACTCAGCAACCCATGGTTTTCTGTCCTGTAGTCCATCTGGGGAAGAGGAGCTATGTACCCCTTTCATGGTATTCTTCATTTGAAGTGTCACTGTCCTCTGTGTTCTTATTTACAGATAAACAGGGATATACATCATATCCTCACACAGCTGAGTCAGAGGAGGCATGAGTTTGAGTAATGGAGAAATTAGCATACATTTTGCAAAAATGTGGTGGGCAATGGTAGGATGGTAAGAAAAACAGCAGGCCAGGGAGCATTGGGGGAAACCAAGGCAGGGCTGCTCCACTTTCAGGTCTTTAAAAGCAAAGGTAAACAAAGGACATTTGGCATAGCACAATGGCATGGTTGTGCAGGAGCTACATGGCCTCCTGTAAGGAGGCACAGCCTGGAAAGGAGGGGGCAGTACCTGGGGCTCCAGACATTTGTTCTGTTTGAGACTGGGCTCTGGCCGATGATTGTGCTGCTAGCCACCAATGCGCCATTCAGTGATTAGGGACTCTATGACTTTGTGATCAGATGCAGAGCAAATATCTGAAAAACCTGGAATGCTGGCAAAAAAGGCTGAAAGAGATGGCTTGATTGCTACTTCCTTCCACCTGCATCACACTCATTGCATGGTCTGCATGGGTGCTCACTTTCCCTTGGAGAGGTGGCTAGCAGCACATCCTTTGTGGTAAAGAGGAGGACCCTGGAGCAAGAGCCCCAGAACCAGGCTGGCCAGAAGTAAGATGGTCAACACCAGTCCTGCCTTTGTGCTCTGAGCGGCTGACAACAAATAGATACACCTGGTTCTCCTGGTCCTTTTCTCTCTATTTCTTTGAGAGCCATAGAAGTTCAGTTTTTGTGTGATTTTCTGGTCTGTGCCTTTCTGGAATGGTCCGCTGTTACTACCAAAATACTGTGTCTTGTAGTATTTATAATAATGTGCCTTTGGAGATTGCATGGGATTTGGCTGGGCTCAGTGCCTGATTGTAGTGGTCTCCACCTGAGCGATTCTGTTCCTGCCCGTGTACACAGTGTATTCAACTGGACACAACACAGGTCATCCAGGACAGCCGGCTTCTGACACTTCTTGTTTCTCTAGGAACACCAAGCGGACAGCTGAAGTGTGGATGGATGAATACAAACAATACTACTATGCTGCCAGGCCTTTTGCCCTGGAGAGGCCCTTTGGGAAGTAAGTGTGCCTGCAGGTTTAGGAGGGCAGAGAGGCAAGAAGGACCTGTGCCTTTCCTGAGTTGATGTCCTGAGCTGTTAAGCTATTCAGGCTGGAAGTGATAACTGCTCTTCTTTTATATCCTTTAGAGCTCTGCTCAGTCCTGAGTGTGCAGGGTTTTCAGTAGCTCTGTACAGTGCCCTTCTGCTTCCGGCCCACCAACTAAATAGGGGGAGCTAAGTTGGGCCTTGCATACTGGACTGATAATCTCAGCTCTTTGCAAGGATGCAGGACTTGCCCCTCCAACTCAGAGTTCTTTTACTTCTTAGTCACCCAAGCCTAAGCTCTTTTGCACACATAAGCAAGAGTGTGCAAATGTCTTTTCCATCAACACTCCAACTTCATGGCCAGAGGATAAGGAAAGGAGTTTATGAAGGGCTAGATACCATCATATGAGGTATCTCATTAGTCTTCCCCAAAGTCTGAGAAATGGGCTTAGTTAACTCTGTTTGACAGAAAGGAGACTGACACTTATGCAGATGAAGATACTTGCCCTGCATCACACCAGTATAGGAGGAGGATGGAGGCTCAGAGTACTCCTGCCTGATTCCAAAACCATATGATCTTGCTACCCCAACCCAGAGCTGATTAGAATAGAGAAGTATAGGGACTACGTTTATGTTATCATTTGTGCTTCTTTGGGAGCAACCATGGCTTTTTGTCCCGCTAATGTCACTCATTAGTCACAGGAACACTACTGGTGGGTTTTTACAGCCTGAAATTGAAAGATAGAGTCCATTACTGCACAGGAAGATTACACAGAACTAGCCATGCACCTCCAAAGTCATAATCCATGCCAGCCCTCTTCTCATCTCGCTCTGATCCACTTCCCGTGTCTTCCCCACCTCCTTTCTTCAGTGGCACCTCTCCATCTTTGGTTCTACTCTTGCTTAAAGACAGACTTTACAAAGTCTTGTCCTTGGATCTTCTGCCCCATTGTCTGTCTAGCAGCACTGTTCTTCCCTACCCACAAAGTTTTCCTCAGCTCCAGATGAGGCTGACTCTTTACCTCTTCCTTTTCTACAAACAGGTTGCTGACCAGTACTGGTAAATACAGCTGGTGCTCCTGATAGTACTTCCTGGCCATCTGTCTCAGCAAAGCTGTGGGATGCCCACTCACTTGTTGCCTTTCCTAGCCAGCCCTCCCCTTCCATCTTCAGTAAACCTTCACCACTACCCCACTCCTAAGCCCAACCACTCCTTTACTTTGCACAGATGACACCTGTTTTCCTGATGAAATGGACGACATCAATTTTCCAAGACAAGGCAGCCCATTAGCTTGGCCGCATCTGCACCATCCTTCTCAGTCTCTTTTGTCTCAAGGGACAAGTGTGCTTCCTGTGGTGGATGGCCAGCACTCCACCAGCACTCCAGATGCACCATTCATGCCTGCACTCATTCATAAATCAACATCGATCAAGTCCCTGCAGTTTGGATTCATCTGCTCCTGCTTCCTGGTGTGCAGGGCCTCTCAAAGTTTAATGTGCACACAGATCTCCTGGGGATCATGTAAAAATATAGAAGCTGGTTCCCGAGTTCCATGTTTCTAATAAGTTCCCAGGTGGTGCTATGCTGCTGGTCTGCAGACCCCAATTCAAGGAGCAAGATTCTCCTTGAATCACTA